ACATTTTAACCGTTCGATCAGCTCATTGCATTGTTATTTTTTTTCATCCATTGTGTTATTTTACATTTGGTTAATCCAAGTCAATTATATGTTGTATTAAAATTTAAGTTGTTGAACCATGATGAATGGATGAATCTTGAATGGTCACTCGGGTTTATCTCAGTATGTTTCACGATGTGCGCCAATCATTGAATTTGCTGCCTGTGAGGGTCTACAGTTGCAACACTGTGTTTTTGTTGTTGTTTATGTGTATTGGTGGTGTTGTAGATGGAAGACATGGAGATGGATGGTGCATTTGCACCGGTGGTCGTGGAGTTGGTGGCTCAGGGTGTCATTGGTAATAGGGTTGATGAGATGGAGTCTGGCTTTCTAATGGCACTCGATTACATGATACAGCTCGCGCAGAAGGATGGTGATGATGAGGTAGCTTGGTACTTCCCTCACCCAACTCAGCATTCTACATCATTGACCTGCATCTGTCTTTTCTGAATGAACATTCCGTCAGAGATCATTTAGCATCACAAATGAGAACTATGCTGTGTGCTCTCGTGGCTTTGCCATATTGTGGTACCAAAATGATGAACTATCGGTTTATCTCTCCAATTATGATTGTGCAACAGATGATAAAGCATTAATCTGTATGTATGTAGTATGTACTCATGTTAAATTGCTCATTAGCATGGTTTAACATGTAATCTAGTTATTCTGGGAGATATCACTGAGAATGCTTTGTGAGAATAGGGTAACTCTGAAGTCCACAAGAACTGTTGCGAGACATGCTTACTGGTCTAACACCCTAATTTTATAATGTTACTCATTTCCAATTGATCGTGGGCCTTGTCTGGGTATGTGTTAAGTTCTTGAAGACATCCCTAAAAATGCTTTGCTGCAATTTGATGTAGACGGGGTCCGTGAAAGATATTCTGAGGCACTGTTATCAGCTGGACTAATTATTACTATCCTTACATGTATAAGCTTTTTCTACTTCCCTTAAATACCAGTTTTACAATGGCAGCGTAACTCTCTTCTTGAAGTAGTCAAGCAGACGGTGCTAGACCATCTGACGAAAAAATGCCCTCCGCATGTGAGTGTTACTTCTACTGCAGCAATACTCACATTAGTCCTTCATTTTTATTTATTTCTGGATGCATATTTACACTGTTTGACGAGTCTGCGCGTTTTATGAACCAGGTTCAAGTAGTTGGACTTCTTTGCCAGACTGAAAAGAAAGAGAGCAGACATGAGCTACTACGTCGTGTAGCTGCCGGTGGTGGCGTTTTTGAAAATGATAAAGGCCTGAAGTGTCAAATTCCAGGAGCGAATCTCAATGACATTGCAAATCAGGCGGATGATCTGCTGGAGGTAGGTTGAAGAGCATGTGTTCATTCGTGATGAATATTCGATGTTGACACTTCTGTACTTAGATTCTCGGTCATTTTTAATTCATATATAATTGTATGGAGCACAAGTAGTGTTGACTTGCAGAACATCGGCTCCTGTTGCTACATGGTTATTTGCATCATTACTATGATAGTTAGTTACATGTCGCAAATGAACATACAATGTAACTAAAAACAATATGTACTCTTCAAGACAGAATATTTACAGCCTTACGTAACTGGATTTGAAATTGGTGCAGATGATACCTATCAGTTGCCTCATAACCGTTCTTAAACGTGTGCAGTTTTCTTTCTGAACGCATATAACTGCTTCCCTGGTTAATAGCTATGAGCCCATGGCTGCCAAAAGCTATGCTGGATGTACAGCTTTATTGCAACTTCTCTTTGTTATTTGCAGATTTCTAATGGAGCGAACTATATAACAGTTCTGCACTTGGATTTATTCAACTAAAAAACTAGTATGTGAATGACATTTGTGTTAGGGCATGACACACTTTTTTTCCTGTAAAGACGGTTAACACCCCCATCCTCTGCATCGATGATGAACTTTAGATGGTTTTGAACTTTCTTATTTGCCATCTTGGAATGTAATCGATTTCTCATGTCCAACTTTTGACCTGTTTGAGCTGGTCATTGTAGCCAATGTGTCGGATAGTTCAAGTTCATATCAGCATATGACATTGAGCCACTGGCCACTCCTCCTGCCTCCACTTACCACTGAGCACTGTTATGTCCGCAAAACTGACATTTTGGAGATGAGTTATGAACCACTGTCATTCATACATGACACCCCTGTATAACATATGCACCTTGTACAACCAGCTCCCAAAGTGCCAGAGTTCTAAGATGTGTTTGCATCGTGGTCTTCTACTACTTTATAAAAATCTGAGTCCAGTTTCCATAATTTTTAGTATCATTCACTCCCCTCAAACAGATAAAGCACATCATCGTTCCTGCATTCTTGATGCTCTGAAATTGGTTGAAACTAGATGCATCGTCACAAATGACTAAACTAAGTCTGTGAACTAGTGTGTAGTCTTCATGGTGCATCATCTGCAATTATCAACACTAGCATTGTGAACTACACATTTTCTGGTACTTCATTAATTGCTTCAATCTTCCATAAATCCCTGATCCATTTTTGAGAAATATAAATGACTGGTATTTTATTTTACAATGATGGTGAACAAGAAAAGCCTTTGTCCAAATGCCATTTAGAATTCCAGTTCTAAATGAGATCATTTTTGCATATCTAAACATGAAATACAGTTCCTATTTTTTTTTAAATACATGCCATCTGAATTGATACTTCAATCTGTGATGATGGATTGATGGTAAACTGAATCTGTAATTAATATTTGAAATTCTGAAACATTAACAGACATAGTTCACTAGACTCATTAACAAACATAATTCACTTAAAACATTAGCTTCTTGTTTATGATTAGAACATTTGGAAGAGTGCTTCTTGAAGTAGTTAGCTTATTTGGATATCCATGCCAACTAATAGTTTCCCAATCTTTTGAGCTAAATTTTCTCTATTGCTGCAGTCAATGGAAACCAGACCCACAATTCCTGATCGAAAACTTCTGGCCAGACTAGTTATAGTAAGAGAGGAAGCTCGAAATATGATGGGAGGTGGCCTTTTAGATGAAAGAAATGATCGTGGTCTCAATACCCTTCCTCAAGCAGAGGTGTGTTTTAGATATGTTGGACTCCTGAAATAACACAGTTGCAATCTTTAATACCATGTGTAGTGGTAGACTTGGAATATCCTTAATTACTTTGGTCTGATGTAAGAGCTGCTCTGTCTGGTTTGTAAGCCTCATGAACAATACTGGTGAACAGGTGAACTTCTTGAGCAAACTGGTCGCTCTCAAACCAGGGAAAGCAGTGGAGAAGATGATCAGTGATGTTATGCATGGCAAAGAGGAAGGTGCTGATAACACTGAAAGCACAAATACAGGACCAAATTCTGACCTGGAACCTTCAACTGGGACATCTGGAAGGGTAAGGCTTGGATACAACTTGGGTAGTTGCTATCATCACAAAATTCACATATAATATACATTGAACCAGACTGTTGTTGACTCCACATGTTTACAAAAACATTAGGAAAATGCAACGGGCCGCAAGCCACAGCCTGTCCGGCCTGGAATGTTCCTGGAGACAGTTTCTAAGGTATTATGCTAATTTATGAAACATATATTTTCTTTGAAATGAGCACATTAGTTTCCATTAAGTCTTTACGAGTTTACATTGCCGTAATTCAATTTCTTCAACTTGTGGTAATAAGGTCTTAGGCGGCATATATGCAAAGAACACATCTGGCATTACAGCACAACATCTAGAATGGGTGAGCTACCTTCATTCCAGTTAACTATAAGTTGCCCTGAATGTCACCCTTGTCTGGAAAATAATTTTCCTTTTCCATATTTGACTGTTATATAGGTACATCAAACAACACTGAAAATTCTTCAGGAAATGGCCTTCTAATGTTGCATGTGATCAGTCATATACAATACAAAAATGAAGCGTTTTGCACAAATGAAGCTATCGGGATATTTTCTCCATATATAACTTGTTGATGAGGTGTGTTCTGAGTTACTTGGCTGCAAAATGGAGTGGAAGATTTGGTGACGGGAGCACCTGAAGGCCCAACGATTACTTCCAGTCTTCCGGGAAGGGTACTGTTGTATCATCACGCGCAGACGTTGCAGTCCAGAAGTAAGTTGGAAACTTGAAAGGAGCACAATCAAACGGTTAGATTGATGATAGTTATAGCTTTCTTCGAGTAGTGCTTTTTGAAGACATTACTAGTATACCAGAAAGGGTTTTGGAAGCTAGGATTCTGGAAGGTTCTTAGATAGTTTAGTTTGATCATGTTCCTTTGTATAGCCTGTGTAACTTTGATTTGCATAGATGTTTTCATGTACTATGTTGTTAGAATGAATGTTAGGTGTGGCGACAATTCCCTCGTAGTCGGTAACTTGCATGCCCAGACACTTTCTGAGTGTCCTTTTTTATAGAAAGACGGCACTTATGTTTGAGTGAAGACATTATTTGTTGCCCCCTAGGTCCAACTCGGGGCGGCTTCTTTGATTTGACAATCAGTCTTCACCGCTTTCTTCTAAATTTGGCAAGGCCATCCCCTGGTAGCACGGAGAACCATCCATGCCTGCAACTGAAGGCGACCTTGGCGACCTGCACAGCCCAGACACCAAACCGTACGTACGCGTGTGCAACCAGAAATGTTTGAGGAAAGAAGCACCCAACGCCCCAGCCATGCAGCGCGAGCCCGCGATTGGCTAGTGCCCCGCGGCCGGGCTCTTCTCTCCGGCCGCGGTTCCTCCCCGAATCCGTTTCCCCCTCCCTGATCCGACGAGGTTATCACGCCGGAGTTCTTCCGCTCCGCACCCGCTCCCGCCGATCGACGGTTCTGCTTCGTCCCGTTTCTGAACAAGCCAAGGGGATTCGATCGTCTCGTACGAATTCAGAGACGCTCGTTTTGGACGACGGTGCAATAGAGCGGAGTGGTCCAGCAGCTATAATTTGGCGTGCATTGACTTGGGATTGATCCGTACGTGTGGGGGGCGACCGATGGCGTCGTCCTCCTCCTCTCTGTCATCGGCGCTGAGCTCGATGGAGCAGATGCTGGACGCGCTCAGGCAGAGAGGGATCGGCAAGCCCGACGACAAGCCCAAGGAGGAGGAGCCGCCGGCGCTGCCCACGCGCCCCACCGTCAGGGGCCGGCCTCCTTCCATCCACAGGCCCGCCTCCAGCGCGCCGTGGAGTCAACAACGCCCACCGCTGGCCCTGCTCCCCCCACCGCCGGTACGTATACACCACGTCTGTTTTAGTATTGTGCCGCGCGAGGAGCAATGCCATGCATGCATGCCATCGACTAATTAAATAAATGGTTTGGCCTGTGGACGTACGCCAGGAAGATGAAGAAGCGAGGGAGGCGGAGAGGCGTGCGGTGGAGCTGGAGCTGGAGAGAAGGGCTGTGCGGGCGGAGGAGGAGGCGAAGCAGAAAGACGACGACGTGAGGCTCAAGGAGGAGGAGATCGCCGTGCTGAGGCAGCAGGTGGAGCTCTACGAGGCCCGGCTCGCCGAGTGGGAGGCCAAGATGAAGGCCGTGGAGGAGGAGCTTCAGAGACAGACCGCCGCGCTGCAGATGTCTCAGGCTGCTGCTGCTGCGGCGGCGGCCAGAGCAGCACTCGGTTCCACGAGCCACCGCCGGGAGCCAACCTTATCCGACGGCGTCGCGCAGGCGGAACAAGCTCCGGTGCCCACGAGGGCGGAGGAAGCGTCCGTGAAGCGGGGCGAGAGCCTGTTTCGAGGAGCGTCCGTGAAGCCCCAGCAGCAGCAGCAGCCCGCCGTCGCCGCCGTCCTTAGCTCGAAGCCGAGCCACGCGGGCGTCGCCGCCGTCCTTAGCTCGAAGCCGAGCCACGCGGGCGTCGCCGCCGTCCTTAGCTCGAAGCCGAGCCACGCGGGCGAGCTCGCCGTCGCCCCCGCCGTCCTTAGCTCGAAGCCGAGCCACGCGGAGCACCACCTCGCGACCGAGTTCGCGCGGGAGACCCAGGCGTTCGAGCACGCCGCGAGGGCGGTGGCCGAGGTGAAGCCGGGCACCATGTCCGTCGACGAGCTCAAGATGCTGAGGCGGCAGTTCGCCGCCTGGAAGAAGGAGTACGAAGCGCGGCTGCACAAGACAAACGCGGAGCTTAAGAAGCGCATCCACTCGGAGAAGAGCCACGACCAGCAGGCTGCCCACTGCGGCCGGCGCCGGTGGTGCGGCTGGTGGAGGACGATCAAGGCGCCGAAGTTCAGGGCCCCCAAGAGGTGCTGCGCTTGCGCTTGCGCCATGAAGTTGCCTAGCCTTCCCTCGTGCAAGTTCCCTAGCCTTCCCTCGTGCAAGTTCCCTAGCCTTCCTTCGTGCAAGTTCCCTAGCCTTCCCTCGTGTTCCTTCTCTTGCTGCTGCTTTCGCCGCCGCCGATAGTCACCCAAAAATACTGGACCGCCGCTCGTGCTGTACATGAATGAAAGCAAAATGCCAAAATTGCAGTGACCAACGTACATGGCAAGACGAAGATGAAACGGAAGAGTTTTCCTGACTGAATGTGTAGTATATGTTGGTGGTGTGAAGTGCTGACCTAGATGACCTGCTGCGAAATTTCTGAATCTCCAATGTCCAAAGGATCATTTGGAAAAGGGAAATGTTAAAAAAAATAAAGTTAGATTTTTAAGCATGACAAAGCAAACGTTTTTATGGCAATTTATGTTATCACGGGGATGGCAAAAAAAATTCGGAAATGATAAACCCCGAAACGTTCGGATTTTAGGCATGGCAACCCGATCGTTTTTTCATGGCAACTTTGGTTCAAGCGAGGTTGGCAAACATGGCAATTTTCAAACATAAGAGTTTTCCTGACATAAGCCCTGTTTGGTGTCGCTCCGCTCCACAACTCCACTTCCGGAGCTGCAGTTTCCTCGCTCCGCGGATGCGGGAGTTGGTGGGTTACAGAACAGGGTCTTAATGTGTGGTATGTTAGTGGTGTGAAGTGCTGACCTAGATGGCTTGATACAAAATTTCGGAATCTCTAATGTTCAAGGATCATTTGGAAAATGGGATGTTAAAAAAGTGAGGTTAGATTTTTAAGCATGGCAAAACGAATGTTTTTTATGAAAATTTATATTATCGCTAGGATGTCAATTTTCTTTAGCAAGCACGACAATTCTTGACAAAAAATATTAAACATGACAGATTTGCCATCCTCGCGACAACATAATTTGCCATAAAAATGTTCATTTTACCTTGCTTAAAAATCTGATGTTTGTTTATTATCAAAGTCCTTTGAAAATTTCTCTAGTAGATAGGTGCTCGCAGTAACACACAATTTGATCAGACATGAAAGGTTTTTCAACATTTGCTGATATGGAAGGCTCCCGTTTCTTCACAAGTTGGAATGGTTACTACCATTGTCTACCTAAGAAGGTGGGGGGTGGAGGGGTTAGATGAAAAAAAATAGTGTCTGCCCCCTTAGATCTATACATTTTACTGTTTGCCCCTTAAAGTTTTTTGTGTAGCTCCATTAGCGAATTGGACCAAATTCTCAAGGTGATAGGTACTCAAACTACCACCAACAATAACATGGAAGTTGATGTACTAGACATGAACTATTCCTTGACATTTGCAGGTAGAGATAGCTCTTTCACAAGTTGGAAGGATAAGTAGCATTGCCTACTTAAAAACAAGTTGCAAGGCGATTAGGTTAAAGTCTTTTCCCCTCGATCTCCGACGAGCCTATGAGTTCATCTCCCTTCTACCTGCTGCTCCAACGGCCGATGACGGGGATGAGAATCCTGGTGCCTCGGCTCTTGATAGTAGGTAGGTTACAGTTTTAGCCCTCGTAGGGGCGATGCTCGAATGGGTGGTGACGCTTTTTCTTCAAGTCAGTCTTTCGGGCTCTGATCCTCCTCAAGTTCATTAGTCGAGACAGATTAGATGAAGCTCTGACTTAATGTCCCACCAGCTCCTTGGGGTGGCGAGGTTAGGGTTTATCATTGTGTATACATGACGATGATATTTGGTGTCAGCTTCTTATGATTGATTCAAAGGTTCTACGATGTCAACTGCGGCTCCAGGATGCTGGTCCTTACGGGTACATGCACGAAGTCTTCTTAGCTATCATCGACAAGGTCAAGCCAGCTCCGATATGGGAATGGCGACAGGGGTGTGTCAGCGACAACAGTGGTCGTTCGGTGTTCCAGGAACCTCGATGAAATTTTTATTATGTTTAGAATGTTTTGCACTTCTAATGAACTTTAAGAATAGCTTTTATAATAGCTGTGAGATCTTTTTCTCTAAAATAACCAGTCCTGACAACACACACCAATGTGATGATCTTGGGAGAAGTTAATGGAGTGATCAACAATCACCCTTGATTGAAACTTAATTCCGCTCAATCTGTTCCTTGACTCGGACAAGCCAAGATTAAAATAATGAACAATGTGGAAGTAAGTTCTTCTCCTAGAGTATAGGTTAATTTTCTCTTAGAGGAGGCACATATATAAGTTAAGTCACATCATAACTTTTCTAATTGGAGGAAGGGAAGGGGCACATATATCTAGTCATACCCCTTAGAGCCTACCTAATAACAGAGCCTACTACTTCTACCTAATTGCCATCTCATTTGTAGTCAATCTAATAGCCAGTTAATATAATAACAAAAAAACTAACGCCTACACGTCTGGCATCTTGCACATCACCCACACACCTTCATCACCATTCATTTTGCCACGTATGAACAAATGACATCAGCAGGAATATTTTTGGTTTTCGTCTTAAAAATGTTTTATCCCCTAATTAAAAAATCAAATTTAAAATTCGCTTTCACCATTAAATCCGTCTCGACGAGATCTTCAAAACTAGACCCCATGTTGATATGTTTCGACGATATTTTTTTTGCCCAAAAGTTGCCATGATGTTTACACTGTAGTTGCCATAATGATTAAACTAAAGTTGCCATGTGGCAATTTTAGTTTATAGAGCATGGCAATTTTAGTTTTTTGATGATGGAGATTCCAGTACTTTGACCATGAAAATTATTTTTTGTTTGAACCATGGCAATTTTAAGTCCATGTATCATGGCAATTTTAGTTTATGGTTCATGGCAAGTCTAGTTTCTTAATTCCCCATTTTATAATATGTCAAAATTTAGTTTTAAATGTAGAAGAAAATAGCTGAAACATATCATGGCAACTTCAATGCAAACATCGTGGCAATTCATATGCAAAAGACATCGCAACTTTTAACCCCAAAAAATTCATCGAAATATATTGATATGAGATCTAGTTTCGAAGATCTCGTCGTGAGGGATTTAATGGTGAAAACGGATGTTCATTCGGATTTTTCATTTAAGAGATAAAACATTTTAAAAACTGAAAATCTAAAAAGATTCCCACATGCATGCATGCAGTGACGTGGCACAGTATGTGTGTTATAGGGCGTGTGGGCGGGTTTGGCCCCCACCACATGTGTAGGCATTAGCGTTGTCCTATAATAATCCCTCTGTCTCATAATATAAGAAGAAGTGAAGGAGGTGGAGAGGAGTTCGGTGGAGCTAGAGCTGGAGAGAAGGGCTCTGCGGATGGAGGAAGAGGCAAAGCAGAAAGACGACGACGTGAGGCTCAAGGAGGAGGAGATCGCCGGGCTGAGGTAGCAGGTGGAGCTCTACAAGGCCCGACTCTCTGAGTGGGAGGCCAAGATAAAGTCCATGGAGGAGGAGCCGCAGAGACAGATCGCCGCGTGACAGATGTCTCACAGCGCTGCTGCGGCCAGATCAGCAGCTGGTTCCACGAGCCACCGCCGGGAGCCAACCTTATCCGATGACATTGTGCAGGCCGAGCAAGCTCCGACGCCCACGAGGGTGGAGGAAGTGTCCGTGAAGCCATAGCCCCAGCAGCACGGCGGCGAGCCCGCCGTCGTCCCCGTCGTCCTTAGCTCGAGCTCGAAGAAGAGCCTGGCGGGCCACTACCTCGTGGCCGAGTTCGTGCGGGAGACCCAGGCATTCGATAACGCCGCAAGGGCGGTGCCCGAGGTGAAGCCGTGCACCATGTCCGTCGACGAGCTCAAGATGCCGAGGCGGTAGTTTGTCGCCTGGTAGAAGGAGTAAGAGGCGCGGCTGCGCAAGACCAAGGCGGAGCTCAAGAAGCGCGTCCACTTGGAGAAGATCCACGACCAGCAGGCTCCCCATGTCGGCCGAAGCCGGTGGTGTGGCTGGTGGAGGACAATCAAGGCACCGAAATTCAAGGACTTTAAGACTAGCTCAGGTGTTGTTTATGATCATGTTTTCCGGATCTTGGGATATCGTTAAGTGTAATGATACTCCCAAAACAAGTTTGAGAATATGACATTGGAAGAACAACCGTATTGAATTGACCCAACTTGTTTGTTATACTTTGAGATACTATCGTCACAAGTCAATTGTTATAACACAGAGAGTTAACATATGCTTTAGTTTCTTAGACCATAAGAGTATCGTAGTCACTTCTTACCGTATGATGTACTTTGGGGTTGCTCAAACGTCACTTGTAACATGGTGATCCTAACGACAAGTTACATGTACATCAAAAAGTTTGACAAGAGACTAAATAGCTCAAGAGTGGGATTTTCTTCTCCGACGATGAAGAAATATTCTTAGGGACATCTCGGTGTGACAACATCCATCATCGTCTGGCCAAACACGGGTGACTAGGTCACAGTGATGCTGGAACATATCAACGAGAAAGAAGAACAAAACTGGAAACAAGGAGACAAATATAGTGAGCATGAGAATGACTCAAGAGGATAATGATATGTCTCACCTCAGATTTTGTAGAAGTATCGCGAAGCAAAGGGAATAGCACATGATAACAAAAGGTTCACTCGAATGTCATATGTGTATTCATATGTATCAATATGCATGTATGGCTCCTCTATTGATCATTGAACAAAAGGAGTTTTGTTCATGTCTATGTTTTACCAAACCTAGAAGGTCACAAGGTTAAGGGAATCACAATCTGTTGAGTGTTATTTATGTTAGAGTTATGAGAAAATATTTATGAAATATTTCCATTAATATTAGAAATAGTTTTGAGAGAAAGAAAGCATTTCGCAATCACCGAAAGAGTAGGAGGCTTTTATAATTAATTAAGTATCAATGGGCCAAGGAAAATACAAAAATGCCAAGTGGTGGAAAGTTATTGGGCCCTAGGGCCCAATAATAAAAGGAGGCGCCCCCTAGCTTGTATGACAAGTTAGGGGGAGTCCGAATTGTAGTGGGGAGGAGTCCTCCTCCCCCCGTATGGCGCCCCCTCTCCTCCCTCCAACCTATATATATTTGAGGATTTGGCCCCTTGGGGATACACAAGTTTTGGAGCCTCCTCTAGTTCTCTAATTCTAATTTTAAATTGGACTTGATGTAATTATAGATAGACCAAGATCTCTCTAATCCTCTT